ATTTTTTTGGACCTTAAAACAAAATGTCAATTGTTTCATTTTTACTTAAAGACTTAGAAAGGGAATATCTAGAACTGCTGCTGAAAATCAACACATATGATTTTAGGTTAGTTGAAATGTAAAAGTATGCTATCTATTCCTTTTGGAATGGAACTTTATTTCACTATTAGCAAACGAAACAAACTGCTCTACATGTTGCATTGTAGAGTTGCCCAAGGTTAGACTAGAATCATATCATGCTTGTGAGTGACTGTGCAGCACTAATTAAAAACATTACCATGGCAATTGCTATAGTAGCATTTAAATTGGCATCACTGCTGACAAATCTTTGCCATTGATCCCAGCAGGGCTTAATTCAGTGTATACCTCAAGAATCTAAATAGAATGTTTTACATTCAAAGGGCTTCAAAAGATACATTTTCTCCAGTTGTTAGTATGTTAAGGATAACTCTGTCTTTCATAGGCAGGTAATTCATTTACCTGCAACTCTTAAGAATCTGATATCAGATTTCCTGCAAGGAGAGTTTACAATGATTTCAGGTTACCTCCACAGATCCCTCAAATGGTAAAACAAATTCATTTTCTGCTATTTGGAATCATTAGGTATCACTGATTTGTAGCACTGAGAAAGGATGCAGGTGGTCCACAAATTTTGGAATTAAAATGTCTAGAGAAGAGGAGCTGGTTACCAGTGCAGAAGTCTTCCAACCAGATGCAACTGAGGAGAGAAAGTGTGTAAAAAAATAAATAAATAAAAATAAAGAATAACAAAACAACAGATGGACTGACTAGAAAGGGGAAGGAGCAAGGGCAAAGTGAGATAGATTGCTTAGACGCTGTAAAATATTGTCTGATCCAAAATATTTCATAAATTGCCTATAAACAAGACCCTTCTCTACAGGATCACATTTCTGCTCCTTGCCCTTCTTATTAAAAGTCGAATAAGAGTTTACTATTATATTCAGTAGGGTCAGGACTGATCCCATCATAACACATTTGTATCTGCAGAAACCTTTCACAATTACAACATAAATCATACACAGTAGGAGAAATGTTTAGATCCATGTTTCTTTAGTTCCAGAAAAGAGGCCTGTACTAATCAAGATGAAAGAGATCTGTACTTTTTACAGCAATGGGAAATCCTACAGCCTCCCAGTGCACCAATCACTAGAGGGCAGCGTCACATTGAAAGCCGCTTTGCCACTATGTAAGATTCTGTTTTAACAGGAATAAAACATGAATTCTTTTGCTCTTCTGTGAAAGGATTAGTGTTTTCTCAGAAACTGAACCCCATGGCAGACCCTCATAGATGTGTATGGAATACATGTAGTTTCCTTAGTCTGCTTCCTTTTGTGTTCTGCTGACTACAATTTTCTGCTGTTTTCAGTACGCATGTTAACTAGCTGTCTAAGACACTTCCATTGGTTTATTTTCTAATATACTGCCCTGACTTGGGGGTGAAGTACAGTGGTTGATACCCAGCTTATAGTGTTTCTCTGAGCACAAAATTAGGGGGAAAATCTGGGAAAGGAGGGATTTGTTTTTTAAGCAAGAAGAGATAGGGAAGAGTTAATGACATATTATAAGACACTGGTAAGATGCCAGCTGTAGTCTGTATACAGTTCTTGTCATTCACATTCAAATCAATTCAAACTGGAACAGGTACAAAGAAAGGCTAATAGGATCATCAGGAGAACTGACAATTACAAACAGGGATTAAAATTTGGCTAATTTAGACAAGCAAAACAAAAGGATAGAATGAACATGATTGCTTTCTATAAACATATCAGGAGGTAACCACTGGGAAAGGTAGACAGTAATTTAAGGTGAAGGATAATGTAGGCACATGGTCATGTGGGCATAATTTGGTTAGTAGTAAATTTAGCCTAGAAATTAAAAGCACTCAGAGATGTGAGATTTGAAAGCAGCAATGTGAGTAGTCACCGAGAGGGGCTGTTGGGGAACACCCCAATTTTATGATGTAGCATGATCAGTTTATGAACAAGACATAATGACACCTCAATAATTTCCTGAGATAACAGAAGACTAGACTTGGTGACATAGTAACTTCCACTTTATGTCCTAGGTTGCTAAATATTTTAATTAAAAACAAGAAGGGCTTAAATGTATGTTCTCAGTACAGAGCTTTGAGGTTAACAATACCTAAAAATTAAAAAATAGATGAATTTGTCACTTGGAATAAAAGACAGTATTCTGATTGGTGCTCATTGAGTTTAAATAACAAGGCAATGCTCTACCCTTTCAGTAACACATTCTTGACTTAGGAATTTGGTAATTTACTGGCATTAAATTAGCCATGGGAGGATTACCTTATGGTCTTTACAATGCAAAAAGAACATATTGAACATTACAAGAGGGGAAACAAGATATCAAGAATACCTACAGAATCACAAGAGAAAATGTTCTCTAATTTATGCCAAAATCTATGTACATGCATGATTTTATGCAAATTAGTGTTGATTTACTGTGTGCTTTGATTCTTCAATTAAAAAAGTGAGGAAAATACAATTTTTCCTGCATTATAACTATAATTTTCTGCATAAATTAGATGCCTTCACAAATGTTTTCTTTTTGTTTTTAAACATGATGCTAGAGATTGCTAAACATTCCAAGACTCCACTTCTTTCCTCAGTTAAAAGTCTGCTTGAAGTCAGTAAAAGCACTAAAGCTTTTATCTTGCTTCAGGATCATGTAACTGAAGAACCCTGAGTCTGTGCAGATTTTCAGCATAATCATGACTCTCCAGAGATGCAGGGGCCTGTACTGGCTGGCCTTGGTGCAAAACAGGATGTCCAGAGCAGAGTTGTTTATATTGTTTATCAACAGAAAGTTGGATTCTCCACTAGACATGTTTTTCTTGTTTCCTTTTTTTTTCTTTCTTGTTACAAAAAAATTCATATTTCTACTACTGAAAAACAAAACCAAACAATTATTGCTGACTTCCCCTCCACCTCCCTCCTGCCCCCCAGAAAAAGCAGACTGAAAATTGGTTTTATAGTGCTTTGTCAGTGCTCATTTTGATGCTTAATATCCATCCATCCCATTTTTTTCTATTGGGCTGGGATCCTCAGTCTGTACCTCAGTTTATGCAGTGACAATTCAACAAGAGGTGGTTCATAGCATACCATGGGAAGATCTTATGCAGCTTAGAAGCTCAGCCTGGAGAGTGCAGGAAGGCAGGGGCACAAAGCAACTAAGGGCATAGGCAGAAGTTACATTTGTTGTATGATCATCTCCTTCAAAGCACTCTACAGCTTTGCCCTGACAGAAGCACACTTTAGAAGTGCCAGATTTTCTGAAAAATTATCTCTCATTACATGAAGTTTCAAATGAAAGCACTCTGAAGTGGAGAGCCTTCATTAACTTCTGTCTGATCACAACTGGGATGATTCAGCCCAGTTCTGCCCTTGGTACTGTTTGCATGATGGGAGGGGAGGCAAGGATGGAGAGGGAGCTTAAACTGGGGTTTTCCAAGCCTGTACCAGAGTGGGTACAGACGTATTGGAATCCCTGCCCCCCCCCGAGGCAGGGGGCTTGATTCCACCTGCCCCCTGTCCTTCACAGGCTGGGCAAACCCAGCCCAAGCACCCTCCCCTCCCTTCTTCCTCCTCCCAACATGCAGACAATGCAGGAGCTGGTGGGGGGAGGGGCTAGGGGAGAGAAGTGCAGACACATAGTTCTTCATGTGGATTAGCTCCAGATTGGAAATTGATCCCCCACCCTCCCAACCCAACAGAGAATGTCTGTTGGGTCAGGAGGGTTGGTCTAACTCATGGTGCTTTCTGTGAAGTGCCATGAGTTAGACCAGGGAGCTGCACATCTGTCAGCACCCTAAATATTACTTCCCACTCTGTTGTGCTGGTTTGACAGGGAGTTAATTTCTCAGCCAAAGTTTTTTGTTTTTAATTTTTCACTGAAATGTTGACATTTTATAAGAAAGGTTTTTTCATTGTGTATTTTTTCTCTCTGGAGGTAAAAAGAGCCATACTCTGATTAACTGCAGTCCAAATGCAGAATCCCTATTGATTCCAATGAGATTTTTCTGGATGGAGCTCTTTCAGTACAGGTCCAGGAAGTATAAGTCAACCCAGTCCAGAGGGGCCATGGAAGGTCTCTTCCATCACTAAAGCCCCCTCAAACAAATCCCTTCTGTGTCACAGAATCTTCCTTGGCTTAAGAATGGATGAGTAATTATACAAGCAAGGCCTTTGTACACCATACAAGCAATTTGGAAGGAAGTATACAGGAAACATGTAATCATGTACAGCACGTTTAGTTTCACTTGAACATCTGTGTGCAAGGTGGCAAGGAGAAGAATGGTACCACAGCAGTGAGAGAATAGCTTGAGAGAAAACATATTTAAAATTCTTTTGATGTGTAGGTTCTCACATGATAACAGTATCACACTAGAAGCTGGGAGCTAGCTCTTTGCTTTAGAATTGCACTAAATGTAGCAATAAAATTATTTTGGTCCTTTTAACTTTTAAGATGTAGAAATATATTACCTGATCAAATCATGGCTGTGAATCTATTAATGTATATGATGGAGGAGGGAGAAACAGAGGGCAAGGATTTGAAGAGACTGTGACTGTGTACGCATTCAAATATTTTGATAGATTTCTCCCAGTTTTATTTTCTAGTAGAAAACTTGCCCAGAGCTGCAGGTACAAATGTTCAAATGTTGAGGCCCTGAAAAGTAGGGAGCTTGCAGTGCTGGCAATGTACAGCCAGAGGCTCCTGGACCAGCCATTTTTACTTTAGGAAAAAAAGCCTGAATATCTGTACACCCACGATTTCTCTTGGATTAACTCTTCCAGGAGGCCTGTATTAAAATTGTAATTTATTTATAGGCATAAAAGTCCTAAAATCCAGTAGTTGTACAAATACATTAATTGAGGCACAACTGTGGTAAAATATATATTTTAAGTATCCAAAGAAGATTACTGCTACTTACCCATAAACTTTTGACTATTTCACAGGTCCTTTAAAAGTGGAATACAACACTTAAAAACATTTACTGTGGTGAAATAGGAGAGAAGTTCAACATAACAGCCTCTTTGGTGAAGCTGCAAACAATGAGGACTTACTACTGCTTGGCAATTTTGATCTGGAATTGTATGCTTCATGTGGTGCAATTGACACCATCCCCAAAAAGGACTAACAAATATTTGCATCCTGAAAGGATAATGGGGCTATCACAGGATGCTGGGAAAACACTGCACCGCACTAAACGTGGCTGGATGTGGAATCAGTTTTTCTTGCTGGAGGAGTACACGGGTCCAGATACCCAGTATGTAGGCAAGGTAAGCTTTGTATTTAAAAGTTGCTTAAGAGATGATGAATATGACAACTGGTTCTTCCCAGCTTTGCACAGTCCTCCTGATTTGATTTTTTTTATATTTGAGTGGATGTTATTTTCAAATCACCACTAAAATGGTGATTCCTCTAATGTATTGTAGATGTGCTTTTTTGTCTTTGTTTTTTTCTTGGGGAAAACAGAGAAGAAGATGGATCACTGTACAGACTACAAAAGGGAACATTTCCAGTTGAACACTACTCATTCTTGGTTAACCAACACATGAGTTTCATCACAGAATCAGTTGCAATCAGTTTTCCATTGTTAAGATAAACATTAAATAAGGAAACAAAAAGGTTATGTTTCAATTACTTTGTTTCTGTGGTATTAGTAAGACTACAGAGATCCTCTCATGTGTAAAATTCCACTTAATAATGAAAATTATGTCTTTATACAAGATTAAGCCAGGACAAGATGTTTTTAAAAAAACAAAAACAAAACATGCCAGTCCTTTATCCTTTCTCCAGCAAAGAAACTCAAACCCAAACAATCTGGGAAAGGTATCTCCTTGAATTGTACGAGTCCTCTTCCTTACATCATCTATAACAACAACAACATCTCTGATTCTAGCTCTCTATCTGTGACTCTTAATTTAACTTCCTACCCTTCCTCTCCATCTTCATCAAGGAATATTACATTTCTAGCATTTGCTGCATTGCATCATCTTTCCTGTAGGGGATTCAGCCCTGCACTGGAACATTCCCGTGCTCCAGCCAACCCCTCTGCAGCAAACTGAGCGAGGTTGGAGCAGCCCCAGGCTAGTAGACTGACCCCTACCCCCTGCACATCTTGCCAGCCCAGGCTACTGCCACTTAGCTCAACACACATTAAAACATGGTGCCTGGAGGCAATAAACTCTGGTGTGATATGCACTGGAGTTTATCATTGCTCCATGCTAATTGCACATGTAGATGTGCCCACTATGGCATAAAATTCAGTTTGAGGTACCTTAAAATAGTAAGTAATATTTCAAATGAGAAATAACACAGGGGACACAGTATTTTAAATATATTTAGATTCATAATATATAAATGGCCACAAAAATAATTTTGTCTTTGCAAAAATGAGAATCTTTACCTTAGAAAAACTTTAAGAAGGCCATTAAGTGGGAAACATTTGAGTTGATTTTAAACTCAGTTGTACCAGCATGGCTTCAAAGTAACCTGAATGATTTGGATAGAGGTATAAGAATGGACACCTGGAATAATGAATTCCAGACTTTGTATCTCTCTGCATCTCCCTGCTTCCACCACTGAAAATCTGTGTAAGGAAAGGGGTAATTATTGAATCTGTTAACAGATGGTAAGCATACCAGGCCATGCACTGCAGTCCAAAAAAGCAACATTGGACCAATAGCATCACCCTCCAAATAATTTTATTAATCAGAATATGTTACATTGTTTCATGACATGACACTATGCAAAATGGTTGTGTCTGTTCTCAGTTCAAATGCTGTAAATGGGAGCAATTCAACTTCAGGCAGTAGTGCTGTCATAAATATTTTGAGAGAGCAAGAGCTGGCCTAAATAGCACTAACAGGAAAATGAACTAAGTATTTTAGTTTTCCCCTAAAAACAACTTTTAGGCATTTCTCATAACTGATATTGCTCTGTCTCAGGTTTAGTATTCTCTCCCTCAAACTGATGGTAATTAGCAAATTGGGTTACATGTGAAGAGAGAGCACTTTAATTCCTACCTGTAGGGAGTAGCTAGTAGCAAGAATTCCCATACAGCCCCTCTTTAATATGGACAGATGCAAGCAAAAAGAGTAGATTAGAACAGAATAATGCTATTACACTAGAAAGAAAATAAAATGAATTAAGAAACAACAATTTTAAATGTATTTGCTAGAGAATCAGACAGCCATCTAAAAAGAGTAGTCATGTTTCTTTCCTGAGGGCTCAATTTGTAGCAAGTTCCACATATTTTGCCTACAGTATGACTATTAGTTATTAGGAATGGGGTAGTTACTAATTACTTGTCTGTCAGTGTGTGTATTAAATTTGTCCTTTGACTCAATATTAAACATCACACACAACAAAGAATTATTGCTTTCATGTTGCTTACAAATGTTACCTGTGTTATACCTGCGCAAATCAATTTTTTACCATGTAGCAACAATAAAATGGTGATACAGTACCATTTTCTAATATATTATATTCCACTTCAACTTACACAGTAAATTACAGTGTACAGATATACATGTTTACGCTAAAGTAAATTGACTTTATGCCATGGAGCACACACACAGCACAAATTTACACTGGTATAAATCACTTCAAGGTAAAACTATCTGGTTCTAAGTAGTGGTAATGGACAAGTGTTTATAATTTTTGGGACCTTTCCTGTGGGGTCCATCCTGCCACCCCTTCTAACAAGTGTGCATGTAAGGCCCCTGGGTGAGATTACAAAGGAATTTGGAGTGAGGCACTATCATCTGACCTAGGTCTTGCAGTTTCAGTCCATCCTCAGGGCATGCCTACAGTTGGGGATTGGATGCAAGTGAACAAACTGAAACTGAATCCAGACAAGTCAAAGGTGATGGTAGTGTACAGAACATTTAACTTGGCAGGGATTGGGACACCTATCATTGCTGGGGCTCAGCCTCCCTCTCCTCCTGTCACTCATGCTTGCAGGCTTGGAGTGCTCCTGAATGTTCAGCTGGCACGAGTGGCTAGCAGTATCTTTCACAAACTTTATCTGGCAACAAGGTTGCAACCTTTCAGAATCAAATCTGGCCACCTCTATCTGTGCCTTTGTAATGTCAAAACTAAACTATTGCCAGGAGGTCTATGTGAGGTTGCCCTTGAAGACTAATTAGAAACTGCAGCTGGTGCAGAATATGGAAGCACACCTTCTGAGGGGAGTAGGTTGCCAGGAGCACTTAACTCCAGAGTCTATACTAGTCCCCAGTAGCTTTCTGAGCAAAGTTCAAGGTGCTAGTTTTGACCTTTAAGTTCTAAAGCAGGACTGACCCCTGAGGGAAGCTGTGGCACCCCCTGCTAGACATGCTAATCCTACTTCACTCCAGCTCCTCAGTGTACTCAATCTCAGCTACCATACCTTCATGTATATGTTGGGAGATGCTTTCCCCCAAGTTCTGGAGTGATCCTAACAGTGCCTAACTGACTTTTAGACAGATTCTTGGTCCTACTTGGGTCTTTAGACCCCTAGGGTGCCTATACACATGTAGAGAGGTTGCTCTGATGAGCATCAGAGGAGGCTTGATTAAACAAGTCTACTGGAGTGTGGTAATTATTGCGCTCCAGCAGACTGCAGCATCATATGTATCAGTGTCCCCATGCAAGAAAATGGTGGTAGAGGTGCTTTAACTGAAGTTAAAGCTCGTGCTTTAGTTAAAGTGCCCCTGCTACCATTTTTCAGTAGGGGGATGCTGATACACATGACATTCTGGGTGCTTTAGTTAGAATGGCTCTTAGAGTCCTGGTGCTTTCTTCAGGCAGCCACCCTGGGAGAGCTGGTCCTGTGTCCATAACCTTACTATGAAGCAAAGTAAAAATAGGTAAATTCCTTCATAACATTCTTTTGATGACCAAGAATCTTCAGGGTACCTGGCTCATTTGGAGTTTCATGTGACCTTTGTCTAATAGTAATGGCATGGTCGGTGGAAGGGGGGAGGTGGGGAGGAAGCTGAAAATGAAAGGAAGCAGATTTTTATAGAAAAGTAGAAAGACAATTACAAAATGAAGGGTATCCAGAAGGTGGAAGAAATGATTAGGGCAGCATTTCCCAACCCTTTTTGTCCCACAGCACACTTACTTCAATAAAAAAGCACTGCAGCATACTGGACATGCGGTGGGGGGGGGGGGGGG